AATTGGGGAAGCATACCTTACTTAGTTAAATAAACTAATATTAACGTACAGAGACCTCTTTGTTTTAAATGGTCCATGTATCATTTACAAACATTGACCATAGTAGTCCACAATGAAGCAGTTAATAGTTTTATAAATAGAGAAATTACGCATGCTTTGCTCTGAGTACTATTCTGTTTAGAACAAAATGCATTAACACTGACTTAATACAGAACCTCTCTGATAACAACACATAGAAATACTGGGTGGCTCAGTCGGTTAAGCATCTGCCTTCAGCTCAGGTCATGATCCCAGGGCCCTGGGATTGAGTCCCATATCGGGTTCCTTCCTCAGTGGGGAGCCTGCTTCTCTGCCTGCCACTCACCCTGCTTGTGCACTCTCTCTTTCTCTCTCTCTGACAAATAAATAAATAAAGTCTTTAAAATACTGAACTAAACAAATAAAAACTTGAAATGTATGGAACAGTCCAAAGAAAAGAAAGGAATATCCTCAAGTGATAGAAGTCAAGTGAACTGAAAATCAGTAACATAAGCTCAGGAGTTGTCATCAGAGCAGACTTAGGAGAAACCTGGACATGGACATAAGACCTAATGCCAGAGTCTGGAGTTTCAATGTCCAGTAGGAATAAGAGATATGGCCTTGGATTCCCAAATGGGAAAGTGGTAATGTTGAGATTTTTTCTAAAGACTTTTCAGCAAAAGGGTAATTTTTTTTAAATCTCCAACTACTGGAACATGGAAACTACAGGGTTCTAGGTAGAATAGAAAGTAAAGAATAGAAAGTAAAAATCATTGCACCACAAGTGGGTGTGGAGTTGAAATTTCTATCAGCTGAATGTTGAGGCGTCCTCAAGCCAAGAAATCAATACATAAACTCTTCTTAGTTTATTTCCCAGTAAAGTAAATGCAAAATATTCTCTGGAGAGAAATTTACAGTTCAAATGTTATAGGTTTGCTAAAGGAAAAACTGTCTCTACTGAGGATTAGCATGCAATAAAAAATGAGAAAAATTCCCCATGAGCAAGAGTCAGCAGAAACAACAAATAGGAGGGTTAGCATCCCTTGAACTTGAGAACATAAAACAATATTCTGAGAGCCTCGAAAGGAAGAATGTTTAAAATAACTGAAGATAAATAAGTAACATAAACTACAAATAATAAATAAATGGTATAAATAAATAGTGTACATTTTTAAAATAGTCAACAGATTTTGAGAAAATATAAAGTATTTCCAGAAATCCAAAAAGTAGTTGCAGAAATAAAAAAAACTTAACACTGTCAGTGGATTGGTTTAAAAGAAGACTAGACACAGCTGAAGAGATAATGCTTTAGAAGAAATATCTGAGGAAATTAATCATAAATGGAATATAGGAAGTTGATGAGATGAAAAATATGAAAGAGGGATTAAAAAACATTGAAGAAAGGATGAAAAGACCTAACATACTAAAATAGAAATATCAGAAGGAGAGAATGACAGAATGGGTGAAAATCATAATTTTCAAAATAATGGCAGAGAATTTTCCACAATTAATAAAAGATATGAATCCTAAAATTAAAGGAGCTAAAAAGTCCTGAGTATAGTAATAAAAAGAAATTTCACTTTGACCATATTTTAGTGAAAAAATATATATCAAGAAGATAAAGGGTAAAGAGAAAAACATAAATGCTACCAGAAAGAAAAGTCAAATAACCAACAACAAAAAAAATTGATTGGCAACAGCCTTTCAATAGCCCCCCCAAAAGCCCAAAAGATTGCAGAATGATATCCTGACAGTGCTGAAGGTAAAAATCTATCAACCAAGATTTCTATACACAGATAAAATATACTGCAAGGATAAGGATGAAACTGGGCATTTTCATTCAAAGATTAAGAGAGTTTGCCACTCATAGACCCTCACTGTCAGTATTACTAAAGGATATACTTTCAGGAAGAAATTTTTAATTGCTTCTTTAATGCAAATTAAGCACAAAATTATAAACAGGAAATCCCATTAAAAATAAAATAGAATGCCATAAGAGGCCATTCACAAGGGCAATAAAATAGATAATCCAAAGACAGATTTAGTATAAGTTACTCAATAACTTAATGGAAAAACAGATAATTTATATGTGAGAATTTCTTATGTAAATGAAATAACATATCAGCAGAGTTGTATAATGATAAACTACTTTATTAATAGTGGCAGAATACTTTACTATCTCTATGGAAAAATAAAATTAATTTCCTGATGCATACTGTATGTAAAATTCAAATCAAGATGGATTAATAACCCAAAATAAAATGAAATCTTTCAAAGTTTCAGAGAAATAGAAGATAATATTTTCATGAAAGTGGGGTAGGGAAGGTTTTCAAAATATGACACAGAAAACATAAGGAAAAGACTAATAAATTAAACTAAAATTTAAAACTTCTCTTTGTAAAGGATGGCATAAAAATAAAAATGCAGGTATGAACAATGCATGCAACTGGTAATGCATTAATATCCAGAATATATTAAAAACTGTAACAAATCTATAAGAAGCTGTCAGGAGGAAAAACAATAGTAGAATGTCAAATAATATGAATGGAAATTTTACAAGAAAGGAAATCCAATAGCCAGTACATATGAAGACTAATATTACTAATAAACAGATTAATTCAAATTATAATTTGATGAGATACCAAATTACACCTATCTCATTGGCAAAAATTTACAAGTCTAACAAATGTCGATGAACAAGTAGAAATATCTTGACTTATACTTTGCTGGTTGGATATCAATTATTACAACAGAGCAATTGGCAATATATAGTAAAATTATCATAAGTATATTTCTTAATCTAATAATTTTACTTCTAGGTAGATAACATTAAAAAAGTTTCCCCTTGTGCACTAAATGACATGTACAAAGATCCACATCAAAACATTATTTATAAAAGCAAAAAAATAAATTGCAAGCAACCTAATCTTACATTTGTAGAAAATGAAAAAATAAATTAACTTATTTACATAATTGAACATGATACAGAGGTGAGAATAATTAGATCTACATGAGAACATGAATAATTTTTTTTTTAAGATTTTATTAATTTATTTGTCAGAGAGAGAGAAAGCACAACCAGGGGGAGCAGGAGATAGATGAAGAAGCAGGCCCCCTGCTGAGCAAGGAGCCCGATGTGGGACTCGATCCCAGGACTCTGGGATCATGACCTGAGCTGAAGGCAGATGCTTAACCGACTGAGCCACCCAGGTGTCCCGAGAACATGAATAAATTTTTAAAACATTACCGTAGAGAAAAATATAAAAAACTAGGTAGATGACACCATTTATGTAAATGTTTTAAATAATAAAATAATGCTATAATTAACTGAAGATTTTTATCTGTATCATAAAATTATTTAAAATAATTTATGTGGAAATGGTACATACCAGACTCAGGATTTGTGTTTACTCTGACTGAAAAGAAAAGCAAGAAAAGACAGAGGTTAAGTCACATATTACTTTCTAAAAAATACACAAATATTGCAGAATAAGTAAATATGTTAAATCTCTGTTGTTTGTACATAGTTGTATGCCATATTATTTTGGGGTATTTTTCTGAATGTTTACTATAGTTTGCATATGACATCAAAAGCACAAGAAACAAAAGAAAAAATAAACATTTTAAACGCCATCAAAATTAAAAATGTGCTTCTAAGGACACCATCAAGTAAGTGAAAAGACAAGTCGTGCAATGGGAGAAAATATTTGTAAATCATATATATACATATATGATTTATAATATATATATTTACTATATTAAATATATAAAAAGACAAATAACCCAATTAAATGATGGGCAACAGATTTGAGTAGACATTTCTCCAAAGAAGATATACAGTGACCAATAATCACATGAAAAGATGCTCAGCGTGTTTTAGAGAAATGCAAATCAAAACCACAAGATACTTTTTCACACCCCCCTAAGATGGCTATAATAAAAAATGGAAAATGACTGTTGGTGAGGATGTAGAGAAATTGGAACTCTTGTACTGGTAGGGGTGTAAAATGATGCATCACTCTGAAAAACAATTTGTTAGTTCCTCAAAAAGTTAAATACAGTGTTACCAGATGACCCAACAACTCCACTCCTAGTTATATACAAAAGAAAATTGAAAATATAAGTTCACAGAAAAAACTTGTGCATGAATTTTCATAGCAGTATTTATTCATAATATCACCAGAGTAGAAATAACCCAAATGTCCATTAACAGATAAATTCGTAAACAGAATGTGGACTATCTATACAATGGCATATTATTCAGCAATGAAAAAGAAATGAAGTACTGATACATGCTACTGTATGGATAAACCTTGAAAACATTATGCTAATGAAAGAAGCCAAACACTCAAGTCCCTGTTTTGATGATTTCCAAGACCATCCTCAGACTTGATGATTCCTAGAAAAACTCATAGGAACCAGATGCTGTTATATTTATGGTTATGATTTACCACAGCAAAAGGATGCTGACTGAAAGCAGAAGGAATAAGTGCATGTGAGGAAGTCTGGAAGAAATTAGGGGTAAGTTTCCAGGTGTACTCTCTAGATGAAATCACATGGAATGCACTTAATTCTCACAGCAACAATGGGTGTCAACAGAAGCCAAGCGTTGTCAATCAGGGAAGCTGACATGATTGGTATCCAGGATTTTTACTGGGAGTCAGTCACACAGACTACCCAGATTCAGCTACTCATCTACTCACATTCAGCTACTCAGACTCCAGACCTGCAGAGCAAAAAATAGGTGTTCACATTAATCACATTAATCACATTGTTAACATAAAGCATATGGGCAAATTGATACAGATCCAAGGCCTTTGGCGTACAAAAACAGTTATCAGGTTGAACATTTTAAGGGCTCAGAACTCAGGACCAAGGAGGTGGCCAAGGGCCCGTTCTGAAAATAGACCTTTCTTGGTCATGTGCACAGTTTGAGTAACCTAAGCCTGATGTGGTTTTCCCTGCATAGCCACATTCTCTATGATTCCATTTATATGAAATGTCCAGAACAGGCAAAGTCATAGAGATGGAAATTAGATTAGTCATTGACAACAGAATGGAAGAAAAAGGAATTGGGAGTGACTGCTAATAGGTATGAAGCACTTTTGATGAAAATTTTCTTGAATTAGATAGTGATAATGATCACACAGTCTTGTGAATATGCTAAAAACCATTGAATTATATACTTTAAATTGCAACTTTTATATTTAAGTTATATCTAAATTAAAATCTGTTAGGATATCTCATAGTTTAAAATTTGAAAGTTATTGTTATGAGAATTTATTGACAGTAAGTGTAGAAAGTGTAATTAAAATTATAATATAGTAGGAAAAAATTATATAATACCCAGTCTGGGTGGAGCCTCCATTAGGAAATGAATCTCTTTTATTGTTGTGAAATGTTGATGGTAAAATAATAAATCAGAATAATTTGGGAGTATGTCACAAAAATCTTAAAATATAAATATTTAACCAAAGAGAACCAATTAAAGAAATTGTATACTACATGATGACCTAACTAGACAGGCATTAAATTGCTTAAAGTATAGTTAATGACATGGGAAAATATTCATAGTGTAATGCCAAATAAAACATAATAAAATGCTATGAAGATCATATATTTAATAATAAGCAATTTTTAAAAACTATCTATAATTACCAGTAATAATTAGATGGAAACATAACAAAACATTTATTATTTTGTGGAAGGATTTAATTATTTCTATGTTTGCTTACAGAGAATATGACTTTTATATTCAGAAAAAATCACAAGGATTATAGTCATTAAAAAATAAGTCCATAGATGGAGAATGGCACAATGATGACTGAGGGGATAATAATACATTGGTACAGAACTTTATAGTTTATAAACTGCTAATATAAACATTATCTTATTTTAATCTCTCATTAATCTTATGTGATAGGTAGAGTCATAACTGTGTTCCCATTTTAGGTGTGAGTAATCTCAGGTTTAGAAATGTTTAAATGACTTATTCATGTTATCCTACTCGTTAATGACAAATCCAAGACTCAAAATTCAGTATTCTAATTTCACATTCAGTGCTGCTATGCTATAGGTAAAACACACACACTCACAAAATAAATCATCTAATTGTTACAGAGGATAGAAATAACAAATCTTTCACCTCACATTACCATTCCTCTTCTAAATTACAATGTATGAATGAGTTGACTGCATGGATTGAATTCACTTTTAAAAATTAATTATCTTTTTCATCACCAATATAAAGAACCTCAAGTTGTCAAAACACAGCTCACTTTGTGAAATACAGTTCGTCACCTAAAACTATAAATAGCTCCAATAATAAATACCGAATAACTTTTCTACTTCTTCCTCCAGACTGGATACAAAGAATGTCTATGATAGCATCATGAATAATTAACATCATGATAGCATCATGAAGAGTAGCATTATGAATAATTCTCAAGTATCTGTGGAGCCTATAATATTTTTATATTGCTTTCAACATTTTTATCTGTAGAACTTCTCTTACTCTTTAAAGTTATACATTTGTGAATGGAAAGTAACTTTATATTATCAACATTATTCCATACTTTTACAATTATCATTGAATATATGTAAGAAATTTTAACAATAAAGAAAAGTTAGAAAATAGGTTCTGTTCTGAAGCCTTTCTACACAGGTAGTCATAATAATAGAACTGGTTGACCTAATTTTCTTAAAATCTTTTTTCCTCTGTTTTGACTTTATCTGACCTTCTCAGAAATGCCTCAGTGGATTTCTTATTTAGAATATACTCAGTAAGTGGGTTCCTGAAGAGTAGCTAACATTTAGTGCATAGAAAGACAAAAAACTCTAATCTGAAAAAAATTAAAAGATCAAACATAAAATTTTATCTCTTTTCTTTGTAGTAAGGAACATGCTAATGTAAGAGCAAGATCACCTTAAAGAATAAATTCAACTCTTGCTGAAATTGAAAATGGTTTCCTCTTTTTAAATTCTTTTTCATATGGTGTCACTTATTTGTGGGACATAAGGAATATCATGGAGGACATTAGGAGAAGGAAGGGAAAAATGAAGGGGGGTGGAATCAGAGGAGGAGATGAACCATGAGAGGGAAGGGAAAAATGAAGGGGGTGGAATCAGAGGAGGAGATGAACCATGAGAGACTCCAAGAACCATGGACTCCAAGAAACAAACTGAGGGTTTTAGAGGGGAGGGGGGTGGGGGGATGGGTGAGCCTGGTGATGGGTATTAAGAAGGACACGTACTGAATGGAGCACTGGGTGTTATGCACAAACAATGAATCATGGAACACTACATCTAAAACTAATGATGTATCGTATGGTGACTAACATAACATAATAAAAATAAATAAATAAATAAACTTTGTTTGATACTACTAAAACAGGCTTGTTATAAAAAATAAAATATTACAGTACAGAGATTTTAAATAGCAAGGCTAATTATCTCATCTCTCTCCATTATATTATCAGATAAATAAAACCTGAAGGACCTTGTCACTAGCAGAATTATAAAATAAAAAATATTAGGAAGATCTTAGAGCTGGAGGAAAATGTTAACAGGCAGAAATTAAATTCTACTCATAGAAATGAAAGAGAACTAGAATGTTTAATAGGTGGGTAAATATAAAATGCTTTTTCCTCATTATCTTATTTCTTTAAAAATAAATGGTTGATTAAACATCATCAAAATTAAAAATATTTATGCATTAAAAGATACTGTCAAGAATGTAAAAAGACAACCTCCACAATGGGAGAAAATATTTGTAAATAATGTATCTGATAAGGGTCTAGTATCTAGAATATATAAAGAACACATAGAGCTCAAAAATAAAAAGTCAGAGAACACAACTTGAAGACAAAGAATTTGAATAGACATTTTTCCAAAGAATATATGCAAATGGCCTATAAGCACATGGAAAATATGTTCAATATCATTAATCATCAGGAAAATGCAAATCAAAACCACAATGAGATACCACTTAATATCCATTAGGCTGGCTATAGTAAAAAAAAAAGGGGGGGGAACTAGTATCAGTGAGGGTATGGAGAAATTAGAACTGTCATACATTGCTGCTGGCGATGTAGAATGGTGTAGCTACTATAGAAAAGTTTAGCAGTTCTTCAAAAAGTTAAACAGAGTTTACCATATGACCCAGAAATTCCACTCCTAGGAATATACCTAAGAAAGCTGAAAACATGTTCATAAAAAGTGCTTACAGATGTACATAACAGCATTATTCATAATATCCAAAAAGTAAAAACAACCCAAATGCCCAACTGAAAAATAGATAAACAAAATGTGATATATCCATACAGTGAAATATTAAGCCGTAAAAAGGAATGAATTCTAGAAACAACCTAAGTATCCATCAAAATATTATAGATGAACAAGGTATCTATAGGACTAGCCATACAATGGAATTTTACTCAAAAAGAATGAACTTGATACATGCTACAACATGGTTGAGGTTTGGAAACTTTATGAAGTCCAAGAAACTAAACACAAAAGATTTTTTTTTCTAACCCCCCTTAAATTTATTACTAGTATACACAAAAACTATCAATCATTGTATACAGTCAACTGGTATGCAGAAATGTATGTAGTCTTTATCATTCTGTTGTTAGTTTTATTAGATTCCTTCAGATTTATAATTATAATATGATCTAATTTGCAAAATAAGAAAATTCCATTTCTTCTTTTCAGATATTTATACAGGTTATTTAATTCCCTACGTTATTATGCTTATCAGTATACCCCTAAAATATGTGATGGTCAAACATATTATTTAAAACATATTATGTCTTCTGAATTTCTTTATGTTTAATTAAACCAGCAGAGTAGGATTTGAGAAATGAATCCTTTACCTAAACAATTATTAATCATTACAATTACCTAAAAAAAAATGCTCTTTAAGTTGCTTTTTTCTTTTTTTTTTTTTAAGATTTTATTTATTTATTCATGAGAGACAGAGAGAGAGAGGCAGAGGGTGAAGCAGGCTCCCAAGGAGCAGAGAGCTCAATGCAGGACTCGATCCCAGGACCCCGGGATCATGACCTGAGCCAAAGGCAGATGCTTAACCATCTGAGCCACCCAGGCGCCCTAAGTTGCTTTTTTTCTTGAGCTAAGGTATGTCAAAGATTCTTTTAGTGAAAACTTGCATCTCTTTTATAAATTTATTCAATATACAAAACAATTGGACTCTAAAGTGAGGATAATATAGTTTGAAAGATCAATTTTTAAGGAGAAAAACACATAGTCCATATTTTTTATGAACTAGCAAATTATTTATCTAAAGGCAGACTTTTTTCTTTCTAAATTGAATGCATCTTTCTGGATAACCCTATAAAATGGTCCTAATAAACACTTTTTAAATGTTGATAAAGTGTAAGAAGTTAGTATGTGGTTTTACATTTATTAAGGGGATGTCCCAAACTTATCCATTACAGAGACTGTATTTCCATCATTTAAGGAAAAAACTTCATTTAATTTTACTACATGGAGAGAAGGGGAGATAACAGTTAATTAAGTTACATAAAAATCCGATTTTCATTACAGCAAGCTCCTATACTAAGGTTTCTGCCAGGAAGTCATGAAGTCATTATGTCATTGCCTTCATTATTATCCCACAACAAAACCATTTCTTTCAGACTGAGGGGAGCCAATATGTAAAAGAGAAGGCACACAACTCAGCTATATTAGTATAAGATTTAAGTTGAATTTATGATACATTGGAATCTTTTGCTTATATTGCAATAAAATACAAAATGACTTTTTAATTGTGCTAGGTACGATTCAAAGTTAAGTGTGTCTCATATTAAAACTTGGTGGCAGAGATAGGGAGGGATCAATATTATACTCTAAAGAAGTTGTTGTATGATTATCTGCTTTACTAATCTGAGCAACAGTTAATTCCAATGTGCAAAGAACATCATGAAACACAATATTCTTCCTTAGAGATAGTTTAACTCAATGTCACTACACTCTTTGGTTTGACTCAAACCAAATTCAGTGAGGTACAGAGGCTATGGAGTTACAAATGGCAGAAAATCACCATAGTAGATCAAATGTCTGTATGCTTGGTAGAAATCATTTCCATCTATCCAAAAGAAGCCTTTAGTTGTCATGTTTCTACTGTATTACCTTTCCACAAAACAAAATAAAAGAAGCTATGGAGTTTAGTATGTCAGCTACTGAGAAAAAAAATGATAGGGTAAGTAAGGCCTATCCATTTTAAATTCTATAGGCAATGAAATCAAGATATTACAAGACTAGCAAAGGCAATTTTTTTTTCTAGCTTCTAACAATATCCATGTATATGGATGAATGTAGAAGGGGAAAGATTTACCCATGACTTTTTCCTCCAAAGCTATTGACTTTTAATAATAATGTTTCTTTAAAATCAACATTGAGGGGCCTGGGTGGCTCAGTTGGTTAAGCATCTGCCTTTGGCTCAGGTCATAATCCCGGGGCTCTGGGATCGAGTACCGCATTGGGCTCCCTGCTGAGTGGGGAGCCTGCTTCTCCTTCTGCCTCTGCCTGCAGCTCCCCCTGCTTGTGTTCTCTCTCTCCCCCTCTCTTTTTCTCTTTCTGTCAAATAAATAAATCTTTTAAAATAAATAAATTTTAAAAATAAAATAAATATTGATAAGCACATCAAAGCTAAAATACTTGAAAAGAGTTCGTCAAAGTCAAACAATCCTCCTCCCACATATGAAATTAGCAGGTTGAATTAGGTATCAACTGGCAAGCCAGGACAAAAAGTTCAGTTTCTGGGCACCACCTGAAAGAGAGTGTTCTGATCAAAACTATCCAAAAATCCAGCAGCACATTTCTGAAACCTCTGAGAATTAGCTTCATCAATGTGGGAATAATTGGGAAAAAGGAGGTGAGTTTCAAATAATTACCATAAACCATTGGAAATCCAAGGCTTAATTTCATAGGTTGGCAGATGTGAATCAAGGGCAATTCAAGATGTAAAGACTTAGGCCCAAAGTGCCTATTAAAAGGCTAAAATTATCATCTTCATATCTTTTCCATATTATTTTGTTATTTACTCATTAATAAGCATTTATTGGAAGCATGCCTTTTGTATGGTACATAGTTATTTGGAGTACAAAAGAAGTATCAGCATCTATCCACAAGAAATTTGTGATCATCCCAGATGTGGAACAGTAATCTTTCAGGTTAGTGGTATTCTAAATTAATTATCTGTTCATGTGTCTATAATTATGTTTGATCCGAGAAGTGCACCTGGAAAGGCTGAGTTAGTTACCGTAGGGGGAAGCAATTAATGAGAGTTCACTTAATTTAATAGTTCAGATTCAGCAAGTGTTTATCCCACCAGGTTTTGATCTCAATAACTTCAAGTAAATTTGGTATAGAAGTGATGTATAAATTACTCCAATCCATCTAACATATTGTAATAATGCCCTTAGTCTTACTTGCCTTACCTTTCTGAAGATCTATCCCATTACTGCTCACCTATATCCTATCTTCCCCTTCCAGCTCTTCACTTCACAAAATTCCCTCTATTCTTTTTTTAAGGATAAATCAAAATAATTTCTTAGTCTGAAGATAAGCTGAACTATATGAAGAATGTAATAGATGAAGTGTGCTGCAGGCTGGACAGGACAACAGAGATGTCAAGAGAAACATTTTTTTTTAATTGTGGATAATGTTCAGAGTTAACCCACTGGCTAAAGGTAATGATTATTCTGATATTAGTAATCAATAACATCAATAACATCACTTTAATTTCTAAGAGAGAGAGAATATCTCTTCCTTGGACTGTGCTTAATATTATCTTTATAAGACCGAAGCTGGGTGCCTGGGTGGCTCAGTTGGTTAAACGACTGCCCTCGGCTCAGGTCATGATCCTGGAGTCCCGGGATTGAGTCCTGCATCGGGCTACCTGCTCAGTAGGGAGTCTGCTTCTCCCTCTCCCGCTCCCCCCTCTTGTGATCTTTCTCTCTCTCACTGTCTCTCTCAAATAAATAAATAAAATCTTTAAAAAAAAAAAAAGACTGAAGCTGACTTTAATCTTTTAAATACATTTTTGGTTGATTATAGCAACTGCTTGGGATGTTTGTCTTATTTTGTCTAATTTGAATTCTGCTATTTCTCAGAGCAATCTAGGCTTGGAATATTGTTGCCCCAAATTCCCATTCAGTGTGAATTTCCAAAAGCAACTTCTGTCCCTGTGCCTCTGTAGGGATAAGACTAGCCCTTACAGGTGGAGTTAGTTATCCTCACTATCCACCTCAGCTCTTTTATTTTCAGCATTAGAGTTTTATGGAAGTATTCCTCAAACATAAATGTGCTTACAAACCTTCTGGGTGTCTTGTTAAAATGCAGATTCTCATTCAGTAGGTCTGGTGTGAGATCTAAGATTCAATACTTCTAAGATACTCCCAAGTACATCACACTTCAAAGAGCAAGGTATTATGGCATTTACTGCATGGTACTGTGATATTTGTTTGCACAAGTTTTATCCAATATTGTGCCTGGCATGTTGTCGATGCTCACAAATGCTTATTGAATGAATGAATGTTTAAAACTTAACCTGACATAAAGTTCACCATACAGGCAGACTCTCTGCTTTTCTCAGCCTTCAAGGCTTCTAAGACCACTGAGAAATTTCCACTTGTGGGAAAAGATGATGACCCTGATCCAGTCCCCATGGTGCTTCCTCATGAACCAAGCTACCACAAGAGAGTTGCTTTCAGGAAATAAACATAAACAGAAGGCAGTAGAGTACAATTCCAGCACTTAAACCTCAGAGGTATTGGAAATACCAGTGGAACTTTTTAAAAGTACAGAAGTTTTGAGATTGGTATTTGAAGTTGGACTTTTTATTCATTTTCTATGCTGTGTAAAAACTGCCACAAACTCGGTGACTTAAAACAACACCCATTTATTAGCTTTACAGTTCTGAAGTCCAGGCATGATGTGGCTAGGTTTTCTGCTGATGGCTTAAAAACCGAAATTAAGATCAGCTGGGCTGACTTGCCCTCTGGAAGCTCTGAGGAAGAATCTCTTTCCGAGTTCATTCAGGTTGTTTGCAGAATTCCATCCCTTGTGATTGTAGGACTGGGGGCTCTGTATCCCTGTTGACTGTCAGCTGGGTACCACTCTCAACTCCTGGAGACCACCTGTACTCCTCGCCACATGGCCCCCTCCATTTTCAAGCCAGCGATGGTGCATAGACTCCTTCCTGTGCTTCACATCTCTGGCCTCCTCCATCCCTGACCTCTAGACTCAAATTTTAAGATCAGACGTGATTAGATGAGGCCCATCCAGACAATCTTAAGTGAGCTGATTTGGGACTTTACATCTGCAAAATCACTTCCAACACCACCTTGATTCGTGTTGATTGATAACCAGGAGGAGCGTGTATACCAGGGGATGGGAATTTGGGGGCCATCTGAGAATTCTGCCTACCACAGCTTCCAAATTAGAGACTGAGGAAGTATGTTTACCTCTCTTCCCTAGATCCCATGGAAATAAAAATAAAGGTGTACCATTGACATTGAATCCATAGCAACACTGAAAATTGGAAGGGGTGAAATTAGTGCACTGATCATTTTGACAAGATTCTGGAGATCATACTGAAAGGCTGAAGACTGAATTGAGAAAACAGAGACTACTCTCAGGGCACTCAGAAGTCCTGCAGCTGAGGGAAAGCCCATAATCTCTAAGTCAACATGTTAAAGGCTATGTACTGTGTATGGAACCCCTAGGCTGAGGGGTCCTGCCTCATTTGCATACTCATACAATGACACAGTTTTAATGATACAAACTGTTATATACTGTTAGTATATAATTTTGGTTTAACCACCAGAATAATACAAAGAGAAAAGGATTAAAAATGTATATCTTCGGGTAACGAGAATGGAGGTGGAATGTTAATAGGAAGTCACTTTTCATTTAAATCCTTTAAAACATTTTTTTTGTGTATATATGCCAATTTATTATGAAAATAAATGTATTTTTTTCTGTCATATTTTGATTTGTAAGATTCTTTACATAGTCTGGATACTAATCCTTCAATTTTATGTGTTATATATATATTCGTTACTGTGTGAGACTTTGTTTTCCAAATTATGATGACTTTTCACATACAGCAGTGTTTAATTTTAGTGTAGTATAGTTAACTAGTCTAATTATTGCTTCTATGTTGAGTGCTCTTGAGTAAAATTAAGATATCAGGATTTGTTCACTTCCAAACAATAGGAAACTGAACTTAAATTGCCATAAACAAAAAAAGGAAAGCATTGTCTCATATAATTGCAAAGTCTTTCAGTAATGATATCTTCTGGTACAGCTTGATTCAGGGACAAGTGACCATCAAGATTCATCTCTCTGTTCTGGCTTACAAGAGGGGGCACCATTCTTCATTCTCATACTCCAGGTGATGGGCACTGGCAGCTTTGGACTCAGCCTAATCATCACAAAATAAATGCAGCTCCAGACCTCACACTCATACTACCAAATCTGCAGGTAAGAGAAAATTTCTCTTTCCCAGAAGCCTGAATATTAACTCTGTGTTTCATTGGTTCTCATTTTCATACACGCATACATGCATAGCTATGGCCAAGAAGATGAGGCACGCTGACCAGTTGTAGACTAATCTGGGCCAACTTCTATTTCTGAAAATGGAGTCAACCACTGGAAGGCACTTGGGCTGAGAGTAGGGAAATGAGGGTAACGTTACCAAAAAACATTACCCCTTTGGGTTCATGTGGCAAAACAAAAACAAAAACAAACAATAAATTGTCCAGATAATAATTATTTTTAATTTCACATATGACACCGAAACATGATTACTACTACATTTAAGAATACAGACTTGATATCAAATACTGACCCTTCTATTCCATGTGATAATTATTTACTCTAATTTATAATTGCTTCATATTTAAAATGGAAATAATAACACTTTTAAGGTTATTATGAATCAAATAGAAATTATATGTAAAGTGTTTGACATGGGATTAATGTATTTTTTTAAAGATTTTATTTGACACAGAGAGAGAGACAGCGAGAGAAGGAACACAAGCAGGGGAGTGGGAGAGGGAGAAGCAGGCTTCCCGCTGAGTAGGGAGCCCGATGCAGGGCTTGATCCCAGTGCCCTGGGATCATGATCTGAGCTGAAGGCAAATGCTTAACGACTGAGCCACCCAGGCGCCCTGACGTGGGCTTGATAAATGTAGTAGTGTAATTGTTATTAACATTTGAGTGTTAATTGAAAGCTATGTGCTGCCTTTCTTCAGGGTGAACTTTCCTCTCTGATTATGGTACTAAAGACATAATTCTCTGTTAATTAGACATCGGTTAAGGAGATGAAGCTGGAGTGTAGGGCCATGCCTGCCCCAGTGAGATCCAGCCCTGGGTAGATGGGCTCGGAGGCTGATGAAGAGAAGCAGCAGAGGTCCTTCTTAATAGACTTACTGTTCTGTTTCAATCTATTAACTTCAAGTTGTTGTTTTTTTTTCTAAAAGAAAAGTGAATTTAGGCAATTTAATTAATTTTCAGTGATTCCCTCATCGATAAAATGGGCAATAATATCATCTAACAGAGTAAAAATTATGTTTGATGTTAGCACTTAGCCAAAATAGGGACTCAGCAAACACGGATCTTTGCCTGCTGCCTTCCCCTATGCTAACTGTGGGGCTGTTCTAGTCCTTCACCTTTCTTTTATCTTCCCTATATCAATATTTACCAGCAAAAATACACATCCTTTAAAGAAAACAACCATTCTTAGGATTTCTCTGGGAAAATATATTCCCAAGAAAAGCCATCAACTAAAGAAGAGTTAAGAGTGGGAACATTGCAAGATGGCAGGGAGCCACATTTTAAATTTATTCTGTTTGCGCTTATTTGTGGCCAATTTTGAACTCTTACTTATTTTTAGGGAAGCCCCACTTAACAACACCCTGACTGAGAGGGATTTTCAAGGCAATTAAGAAACAGATGTACTTAACATAAGTGTTTGAAGCTTTGGAAATAGCCCATTATTTGCTTATATTTAAGAATGTCCATCGTGAAACAAAATCCTACTCTAAGTGTCCCATGAGAATGTCATACTATTATCACTAGTGGTCAGTAAGAGAAGTTGGTATTTATTTAATCCACCCACTAGAATATTTTATTTTCAAAAATCAATTTCAAAGTATATTTTTACTGAGTACCATGGATGTGCCCAACACTATGCTGAGTGTGAGGATAACCAAAGAAATGATCGCATCTAAAAACATAAATCATTACAGGCATGGAAAAATATTAGCTAATCATATGCAAAAAAAAAAAAAAATGCTAACAATCCAGTGAGGACTGGCTGAACTATTCAAAATCACAGTGAGTCCTTTTTTCTCCTTGCTTCATTTTTCCTGAGAGGGGCTTGAAATTCACTTAGTATAGGATTTCAAAATCAAATTCTTACATGTTCGAACTATTAGATTTAAAAATGTAGGCAATCTCTACTCACCCAGAATAACTTGAACCAATGATTCATATTGGCTGTATTTACAGAAGCAGTTTAAGCACCTCTCTGAAGAGCCATTAGCCAAGTTACAAACAACAACAACAAAACTACCAAATTTAAAACATTTGAATAATTCAGATGAAAGTAAATTATTCACTTTAAATTACATGATTAATTGATCTAATTATTTAATTTTAAAATCTTGAGATAGTCATTTCTTGGTTCCCATGCCATCTTGCTCTTGACGGTCTGAGTCCAGAAGGCTGGGAAACATGCTCAGCGGGGAGGAAGGAAAGAGATGCTGGTGGGGAGGAGCCCAAGGCATTCCTCTTCTGGGAAGGAGGTCAAACCAGAAGAATATATCAGAGAATTGATAAACTAGAGCCCTGAACTACTCCAGTAGCAGTCCTGTATGGCTCTGGAAAGCTTTGTACAACTTTCTAATGACTTCTCCAGGAAAAAGCAGCACAACTGCTTCTATGTTAGTAACACTTATCTCTTTGTTAAGAAGACCCAATGGTCATTTGATGATGCATGATTCACTGGTAAACTTTACAGAAGTAGTCTAAAAGGGAGAAGTTGGCCTTTCTGTCAATCAGCAACCAATGAATTAGTTGGAATGAGATGGTTCAGACATTTAGTCACTGCTGAGTTCAACCCGGTTTCCAGTGATGGGTGGGAGTGGAGATCCAGGCAGTGAGGAAACAGGAAAAGGTAAGATGAGAAAGAAGTAACTGCATGGGTCAAGGGGGAAAAGGACTACTGTATCATCTTGTTTCCTTGATTAACTACAATTTAAATTCATAATTTAATCTCCAATAGGTGGTCCCAGTAGAAAGTCCTTTTTGCCCACTGAGACAGGACCCTTTCTGAGCAATGAAAGGAGATTCTCCCAATAGGAATGTGATGGCATATTTTGGAGATGATCAAGGAAGGAGCTAGACTGTACTATGAAAATAATAAATGGCAATATTGTTTAGCACCCATTACCTCACAATTTGTGAGTCAATGTTTGTGCAGACTTCTGAGTTCATAAGGTAAGAGTAAATAGAAATAATTACCATTAAATACCAAGCTTTGCAGTCCTCACCCTAAAGGCTGTATTTACAGAAGCAGTTTAAGCACCTCTCTGAAGAGCCATTAGCCAAACTGACGAAAGAGGAGGATCCTATCTGAAAGCACTATAATTCAGCAATCACAGCAACATCTTGGTGTTGGAAAGAACATAGAGTAGCACTGGAATAAGACATACTGAACAACAATTTCATAGCTCTTTCTTTCCCACCAAAGATATGAAGAATTTATTTATCTTTATTAAGCCACCATTTCTTTGTTGATAAAAATGGGAATAATAGCATTCTTTCAAGGTTGGTACGAGGACTAAGAATAGCTTATGTAAAATTCATATCAAAGTACTAGCACATATTAGAGTTAAAATAAATTGTAGCTATTACAATGGTGGTCACAAGTAGCCCCTAAAAAGTCCCTATATTCCAGGGGCTTTGTGTTCTCTCTTACCTTTCAAATCCATTGGCTCTGTGCTAGTATTTAGCTTTTTGCCTCATACTTATTTTTAACTCTCTGACCATCTGAAGAATAACTGGACTCCCTTGTCTGCTTGATTTTTTCATCCCAGCTTTACTCTTCAGTGTTCTATATCTCTCCTTGGCTCCATGATCTGCATCTAATGGGCAAGTGTCACCCAATCACTACATCTAGTTTAGTTGTCAGGGAATATCTGTAAAAATTTTACAGATCGACTAGGATATGAGCTACATCTTGAGGACAGGCAAAACTGAAATGAAAAAGAACTGTATGTTTACTTTTCAGTATTCCATATAGACCACCAAGTTCTGTTTTGCATTTGCTGTTATAATTCCTTGTTCCCTTACTTCCGCATTTTGATACAGCAGTTCAGTGTTCCAAGAATGGGTGACATCATTATCAGGGACAAAAGAGTTGCCTTAATTTTTATTGATAACAATCTGGGTTGATTATTTCCTGATGATACGATAGTACCTTAATTCAGAGATTCTTGTGCTGACTCCAGTTGCTTTCAAATTGTGATTTGTGGAGCTCTAAAGTACCAAAAAGATAGTGCAGGGCCCTTCCTGGAGAATCTAGAAGGGGAGGGCAAGTCAGGATGCAGGCTGCTTGGCTCCAACCCATGCATTCCACTTTTATTGCTTCATAATGGATTGTAGATGTAATTTTATTTAGAAAATAAAAAGTAATTACACAGCTTGAAAAACAAATTTTGGAGATTCCCTATTTCATATATGAGGAACTACAATCTAGTTTGTTAGCATGTCCAATGTTACACTATTTATTTTTAAACCATTTATGTATTTGGCTCAGGGAATACTTATTGAACATCTACTCAGTGTATGGTGTGGTGTTCAGGCCTGAAGATGATACAAAGAAACAGTCCCTGTCCTTGAAGAGGAAATAACCCATGGTAGCAATGATTGCTGGCTGTCTACCCAATATCCTTCCTTCCCTTCTTCCTCACAATGTTAAGGCAAGCATCAATGTGCCCAAGTAAATGTTAACATTTCCCAGTTAACCCCTGTAACTAGGGGTAGCCAGTAAAAATTAAGTTAAGCTATTGTGTGAGACTTCCAGGAAAGTGCTGTAGAAGGAAACTAGGCAATCTAAGTCCATCTTTTATCCATTGCTTTCTCTTCTTTCCTGCTGTCTGCTAGGCAGATGTAATTTCTGGAGTTCTCCGGGACATGTGGCAACTTAGGGATAGAAACCATGGTTATGTCAGTTCAGAAAGATAGAAGGATCCCAGAAACCTGATGACCTTGAAGTTGCCACACCAGCCCAGGACTGCCCATTTATGGATTTCCTTTACATAAATAAAAATAAGCCTCCAACTTGTTTAAGTCACTGTTACTATTTTTTGATATTAGACCAAACTTAATCCTAATGGATAAGTAGACAAGTAAAGAGGCAAATTCAGGAGGATAATAAATTATAATGGGGATAGAATTTTTAGAGAACTATGAGG